AACACCAGATCCGATCCGATCATGCAATCGAGAATTTAGAGAAAGCGTGTGCTGTATTTTTGAACACCATCACTTGCCACTATATATATATTTATATATAATATATATATATATCTATATATATATATATATATAGATATATATATTAATCACTTATATACCATCACTTACCAAACCCCCCATAAAGGCCTCCGACATATAGCACTGAGCCTCGTGTCCGGGGACGTTGCACGGCCGACGACGGCCAGCCCCGAAGGAGGCTGATTCCAGAAATCGACTATGGTTGGTCGAATATTTATTAAAAAGGTTTTCAATGAATTTACCAAAAAAAAAAAAAAAAAAACATATAAAAAAAAAGAGTTAAAAAAAGTAACAAACGCATTGTGCATTTATTTTTCTAGCCGTAAAAGCGCAGCATGATATAAACAATTTCTTCTTTTTTTTTTTTTTGTAAACGAACGAACGATCGATCGAATTTTTATTTTGCGATAACTAATGAAATAATTTAATAAATAAAATTTTGTTTATATTATATTTAAAACAACGTTAGAACACGAACGAAATAAACGTGCTTGTCTATAATATAATAAAATTTATCGTAATTAGTTTTATTTATAAAAATTCGCTATGAGAGACTCAACTCTGATTACTACTTTTGTTTATACGATACGTATATATATATATATATATATTTTTTTTGTTTGTTTGTTGTATATGTATATATGTGTATCTTCGTTCGTTCCTTTTTACCACCGTTTGTTTACGGTTTTTATTATTATTATTATTATTATTATTATTATTATTATTATTATTATTATTATTATTATTATTATTATTATTATACTTCTTAAATAATATTTCTTCTTTATGACCTTTTGTATTTGATATAATATACATTGTTTTGTTTTTTTATTTTAACCTTTTTATTCCTTTTTTCTTAATTTTTTTTTTTTCTTATTTGCATGACTCGATAGAAATCGTAAGTTTATATTATTATTATAATTATTATTATTATTATTATTATTATTATTATTATTATTATTGTTATTAGATTGGTCAATAAGTAGATGAGATTTTTTATTCTTAATTAACAGAATAAAAATTACACTGGATATTTTATTGACAAATCTAATACATCTTTATATATATATATATAATGTAATAGTTTCTTTTTACATTTATAAATTTTAAATTATATTTTCATTTATATCAATCTTATTTGTCTATTCTCGTAGTAGAAACGAATTTAGTTGGCATGAAGTATCTTTTAAATCCCTATTTAAATCAAAGGGTTAACATTATTTTATCAACGTTTCAAACTACGCATGCGTAGGATTCATTAAACATAAAAAAAAAAAAATTTTAAGTCTTGACATTATTAATATATCGTCTATTCTTTTGATTATATTTTTTTTTCTTCATGTTCTCTTTTTGTTTAAATTTTCTTTTTTTTTTTTTTTCTTTTTTTCTTTATTAATTCTACAAAATACGAGAGCTAAAAAACAGTGGTGAAAGATAATTGAGTCGTGTAATTTGATAAAACGGGATGAATTTATTAATAATTATTGATAATTATTTTCATTCGGTTTCGCGAAATTTAACTAATTGTTGTTGACGTAGCATTAAATAATATTCTCGAGTTTGTTTATTGAAAAGGTCGAACAAACAAACAAAATAAAAAAAAAAAGAAGGGAAAGTTGAATATACTTTTTTTTTTCTCCTCGCGTAATTTGGTAAGCACAATAATGCACGAAGCACGATGCACACGAATGGCACGTTTTGCACGAAAGCTAAAAAGGGAAAAAAGGGCACCACCCCTCCCCCCTGAATGGCGTTTCTCGTAGTTTTAAGTATTTTTTTTTTTTTCCTTGAGTTATGCTTATTTTATCCGCACTGTCTACAACAACTGCATGACGTTGACACATTTTTAAAAATTACTATTGTATTTTATTAGAGCTAATGAGAGAGAGCTTTTCTTCCTCCGCTTCTCCATATATCTCTACTTTAAATATATATACACATTAGTATATATGTAATGTATATATAACGAGTCACAAAAGTATGTTTATTACTACTATACATGTGAAAAAATTGTTATTTGTTTGTAATGCAATATTTTTTAATTCTTGTATATTGAAAATATATATTTTAGGATCATTAAGGTTTCAAATTGATATTTAATTTAATTGCATAAAAATATTCGTATCTGTGTAAGATATATTTAACACAAAATATATATTTTAACATTTATTATTATTTTTTATTATATTTGTGTCAATTATAAATAATATTTTATTATATATGATATATAATAAAATATATTTTATATTATATATATATATATAAATTTCAAACATAATTTTTAATATTATTTTATTATATTTAAATATATAACATATAATAAAATATAACTTATAAATTTAAAATAAATTTCAAACATAATTTTCAATATTATTTTATTATACATAATTATAAAGAATAATTTATTGTAAGAAATTTATTTTAACATAAATAATAAGAAAATAACTCTTACAATTATATACCCCTAATCGTTTTGAAATTAAATTTAAACAAAAAAGTGTCCAATCAAAAATAATAAAATTAAAAATGATCCTAAAATAATAAATTTCCTTGTAAAAAAAATTAAAAAGTTTACATTGTAAAATAATAGATCAATTATTTAAAATGTGCAATAAATATTCCAATGATTTGCTATATGTACATACATAAATGTTAATATGTGTATATATATATATTGTCTACTTATCTTCTTAAAAGCAAACTTGACGCCACTACCACAAAAAAAAATCCTCAATTTTCCGCTAATATCGCTGCAACAAAAGCCATTCCCTTCTTGCAAAATATTCAATTCGCAAATCGCTGTGCCGTAAAATAATCCGTAATAATTTCTCACTCCTTCTAAAAAACACCCTAAACCATTTTATTCTACAACCTTTCGGTAATGTGATCGCTTAAAATACGTTTATTCAAATCGATAAATAATTTCTCTTATTTAAACGTGTTTAAAAGAAACTAATTTTTTATTATTATTATTATTGTTATTATTATTATTATTAATTCTAATCCTGCATCCGTAAAACGATGTGTAACGATCGTTCATCGAAGATAATATAACAATATTATTTAAACAATAAAATTTAATAACACTTCATATAAAAAATCACATGAGATTTTTAGATTTTAATTAATTATAAAGCGAACGATAGATTTCATTTTTTAAATAAAATATGAATTTATAAGTTATCTTACAAATTTACAAATTACAAGAACAAGGTATGATTATTTGATCATACATTACAGTAAGTTTGGTGTTTAGTTAATTAATTATAAAACGAACGATATATTTTATTTTTTAAATAAAAAAAATGAATTTATAAATTTTTTTACAAATTAACAAATTAGAAAAGAAGATTTTATAAATGTTTTAACAAAGTAACAAATTACAGTAAGAGATATGGTTATTTGATCATACGTTATAGTAAGCTTGGTGTTAAAATAATTTCATTATCACGTTCTTTCGATTCCATTCCAATGGTTTAAACGAGATTAGGGTTTAAGTGTAAAAAAGGATTGAGATTAAGCAATGACAAAAGTAGCATTCGATAGTTTGGAATTTTCAAGAACGAGAACCAAAGCTAATCTCTTGAAATGTGTATATGTATGTGTATTCTCTTCCATTCATGGATCGCTTAATACGACTATGCTAACAGTGCAATGTGGCTGCATAGGCGATGGAATGCCACTTTAGTGTCTGGAATGCGATGTAACGATCGTAATCACCTAAGATTCAGTTATAGAGGAATGTTTCTCCGTTCGCGGTATGTCTATATGTATGCATGTATTATCTATACGTACATGGATATAACTGTTAAAGGCTACACAATGGAATTAGTCATATATAAATAGATAACAAGTGTTACTATAATTCGGGCAAACTTCTCAAATGTTAAACTCGTAAAACGGTCACGCGATCTTTTACAACCCTCCCCCTCATACCCTATAGGGTCAGGTTCTATAGAAAGGACGAATGAATTAACGAATAAACGAACGAACGAACGAACGTGATAATTAATTTATTATACTTGTCTACTTTGTTATCAAGAAATGAACAAAAATTTTATATTAAACGTTATGAAAAGAAATAGAAAATATTTTTTGATAATCAATTTTGRATTTTGTTTTGTTTTGTTTTGTTTTTGAAGTGAAAACTTCTTTAAAATGGGAGTGATTTGAAAATGGATGAGACGAAAATGCGACAGGTAGCGACAAATTTCCGTTTCAGGTGCTCGCAAGCAACATTTTCAAAGTGTGTCTGGAGGATTGCATTCTTACAGGCGCACATTTTTATAATTATTTAATAAATAATTTACAAATAACGTCTCATTCTATCAAAAAACTTGCCTTTTTGATGGTTTCATTTCTAACTTGTGTGATTTATACATATGTTTTTTTTTTCTATAATACAATAATTCAAATATATATATTTAAATAAATTTATGAGTATTATCTTCGATGAAATTTCGTATACCGTCTTGCTCGATAGTCGTCAAGGAATTGATTTAAAACAAAACAACACTTTAACGCGATTTAATAATAATTAACGATGATAACAAATGATCCTATCAATTAACATCTATTTAACAATCGTTAATTAAAAAATCTTCGCGTTAGAGTGTTAACCCGAATCAACGGGATTGCTTTCGAATATATCACAAAGCCCTATTTTAAACCTTAATAAAATTTCCATACATTTTTTGTTGATTGAATAATTCCCAAAGCCTTTATAAATAAATRACAAACAATCTCCTATGATTTGTGTTGTCGCCTTTTCTTTCCGTTTTAATTTGTTTCGAATAACGAAACTTACTCTGTCGACGTTAAAAAAAATTTTTAAAACTACCCCTCTCTTTCTTTGTATGTGTTTTTGTAACTATTGTACGTTAGAGCGAAGATATTTGTGTTTCTTGTTCTCCCGGCAGTTGGATACACAGATCGCGATATTCGATACAAATGGAACGCCGGCCTAGAGTCGGTCGGCATCGCGAGGGAGGTGGAACTACCGCAGTTTCGCGTGCTCGGTCACAGGCAAGGACAGAAAATCGTACCACTATCTACAGGTAGATATCCTCCTCTCTTCTGAAATTAACTCGTCCTAACCAACAAAAAAAAAAAAGAAAAAATACAAGAAAAAAAAAACAATATTCAAGACTCTCGTTGCAAGTTATTCTCAATACAATTGATATTAACATAATTACAAAAAAAAAAAAAAATAATAATAATTACAAAAAATTACCTCAAAAGTATTCACACGCGCTGTTTACAACACCACCGTTGAACCTTTATTGTTGTTGTTGTTGTTGTTGTTGTTGTTGTTATTCTTGTCCAAATATGATTATTATTATTATTATTATTATTATTATTATTGTTATTATTGGTTATTATTATTATTATTATTATTGGTTATTATTATTAGTTATTATTATATTTAGTTTTATTATTGCCATCGTTCTATTCGCCTGTTATCTTAAAAAAAAAAAATATGGAAGAGAAAAAAAGTTCCGAAAAATAACACAAAATTTTCTTTTATCCTGCGCTAATTACGTTCGAAAATAAAAAAAAAAATAAAAAATGATATAAAATAAGAAATTCGGCACTTAAAATATGCACCCTTCACTAAACCAAGTCTTATCCGAATGTTTTCATTGCCATGCGACGAATGAAGTTTACGGACACGAGGACGTCTATTGAGTCGAATTAGTCCGTAATCCAAAAGTTAAATTGGCCTAATCAAAATCGACTAATATTCGGACATCTCCGTGACTAAAAATCGTATCGAAGAGATAACAAAAAACAACAAGAAAAAAAAAAAAGAAAACGAGAGAGAGAGAGAGAGAGAGAGTACATGTGAACGCAAAATATGATAGAACAAATTTAAAATAAACAAATATAAATAAAAATAAAAAAACCTAAGTTCGAATCATGATAGCATTCCCATAAAAAAATAATCTCAAAGATACGAATAGTCATCGGAGAATAATCCCCCATCCCATAATACCTCAACGTAAGGACTCGATCGAGACATACAGGATAGGAAAGGGAATGCACCTGAATTTGTATGTGTACGTGTATGTGTATGCGTGTATTTTTTTTTTCTTAAAATTAAGAAAAAACTGTAGAAGATAATAAATGAAAATTTAGAAATGAGAAAGTCAGATAGAAAATAATTAGAATAATTAAATAATATATTATAGAACGTATACATAATTAGATAATTAGAGAATGCAAGTGGTGTAATAGATTTACGAGCATGGTGTATGTATGAATGAATGAGTGTCAGCTAACAAACGAATGAATGAACGTGTGCATATGTGTAATGAACATGCTTGTGTGTGTGTGTGTGTGTGTGTTAATGACCAAGTAAAAAGAAAAAAGAAAAAAGAAATGACCAAAAAAAAGCATTCAAACAAACAAACAAACAAACAAAAAGAAATAGGAAATAGGAAAAAAAAATATACATATATAAAAGAAAACAAAAAAATACAGAAAACTCGAGGTTTGCGGGGGTGCGAGGTAAGTGGAGGCCCTTGTCGGAGGTTGGCGCGTGAATTGCGTGAGGGCTTCCGCAGGTACGTACCAACCGCGGGGGGTCTCTCTATTTTTTCAGTCGGATACACGATGAGGGACATCCGATACAAGTGGAACGAGGGTGCTAACAGCGTCGGTGTCAGCAACGAAGTCTCCCTTCCACAGTTCAAGGTCCTCGGGCACAGGCAGCGAGCTATGGAGATTAGTCTTACCACCGGTAACGTATGAATAAAACCCAAGCCCCCGCCCACGAACCCCCACCCCCGCCACCCAAAGACCCCTAAACAACCTAAACACCACCATATCAATCAATCAATCAATCAATCAATTATTATTTATTAATTAATATTAAATTTCAATAATTTTTCTAATTCGAAGGTAGACTCGTTGCTAAACTAACCTAATCAATTAATTAACTTTCAGAAATACGAATAATATGGATAAGTGAAATCCTCTTTCCAATTATTCACCACCACCATAACCACCACCACTACCATTACCTTAAAATTATTCCAAAACTGACACCATTGCTGCCGTAAAAAAAAATAAAAGAATATTATTTTTATACAGCATTTATCTAGCTGATACGAGAGAATAGAAAAATCCAATGATCAAATATTAATATTAATATATTCATTTTTATTATAATATAAATGATATTATTTAATTATATTATATCATTTTATAGAAAATAATAAAATATTATTTAAATTAATATATATTATTTTAAATAATATTTTATTTAATTATATAAAAATTAATATTTATATACTTATATATTTTTCTAATTTATATTGTAAAAGCGTCATCATATTATTTTTTTGATCATCGTTTTTAAACAGTATGAATAAAGGGTGGAGTGAACGCTATCGGAATGTCAACAAGAACTACGATCACATAAAAAAAACGTCGATTAGTGTTCCAAATTTGTGTAGTTGTTTGTACATGTATAATATCATATTTTTCTATACACCTATACATATATATATATATATATACATATATAGAAATCTATATATCTATATATATATATACAGATATGAATTTTTATTATATTGTATTGTGAATATTTTGTAATTAATTCTATCTCTTTTTCTTCTTCTTCTTCTTCTTAATTTTTTTTTTTTCAATTTTTTATATATATATATATGTAATTTTTTTTTGTAATTATTATTATTACACCATCACCAACAAACTCAACGATAATTAAACAGCCGTCATCGTCATCGTCGTTGTCGTCGTCGTCGTCGTCGTCATCGTCGTCATCGTCGTCGTCATCGTCGTCGTCATCGTCGTCGTTCGATCAATCGATTTCTCTCTCTTCCTCGCGCGACCTCGTCTTCTTCGTTCCTCGTCCTCGTCCTCGTCGTCGTCATTGTCGTCATCGTCGTCGTCATCCTGGTCGTTTTCGAATAA